TGGAAAGATTACCAGCTGGCTTGTCATGTATTATGAAAAGAATAACATTTGCCTTAGAGGATGCTACAAGCCAGGAGCAGGGCCCCGGGGAGCAGCGTGACAAATTTTCGTGGCGCTCGGTGATGAACTTGCCACAGTTCTTTAAGAGACTTGACGTGCCTTCGCCTCTAATTTGGGGAGAGGGGAAATGCTGTCGGAAACTTTATTTATTGCCTGTGGAGGGGAGGAGAAGGGAGTCCAAATACCTTCCTGAGATGGGGATTGTGTGAAAGGAGCGGAGTCGGAGCTTTTCTGCTCCGCAAGACCCACCCCAGGCTCATCCTTCTGCTCCCACCTTGCAAATGGGGAGCAACACCCCTTGATCCGGGGGTGGGTTTGGCTGCCGGGAGGGCTGGGAACTGCAAATATTCCCTGGCAAAGCTTTTCTGGACACACTGGGCTTCGTGTACGGCTCCAGCAAGGGAGATTGTGTGCTGAGAGCTGAGCATCGGCCCCAGGAATGGGTGCGGGATGGGACCCCCCAGCCTCCTTCTGTGCGCCGTGGGGCTGGGGAGTTTTTCCTTCCTTGTGTGCTAAATCGCTAGGGAGGAAAATAAATGTGGGTCTGGTGAAAATAACGTGCTTCTGGGATGGGTGAGTTTTGTTTCCAGGAGAAAGGAGAAGGAGAAAGTTTGCTCCTTGGCTCCCACATGCCCCAGGAGAGCTGCAGAATTCCTTGTTTTCCTGAAGTCAGTGCTTTCACCCAAACCCATCCTCCCTCCCCATATCACGGAGCAGCCGCCTCCCGGTTGCGTCTCTCCCTGAGGCGACACCAGTTGCGTTATTGCTATTTATTAGCATCCAACGTGTAGAAGAGCGCGGCGATGCCCAGGAGTCCTGTCTTCTCATCGGGAGTGCTTGAATAACCCAGATGAAGAGCCTGACCTTGCCCTGAAAATTTTGCAGCCTGTCGGGAGGCTGTAAGTGGGTCAGGCAGCTGGTGTAAGTGGGAAAAGAATCCAGTTCATGCTGCTGGCAGCCCGTCGGCAGCCAAAAACTGAGTGCGACCTGCACGCCCAGCTGCGGGAAGCAGCCAAAAGAAGGTACCAGTGCATGGGTGGCTCTCACCAAACCCCCAGCTCCGCCACGGGACTCGCCATGGGGTGATGCTGGGGTCCCCAAAGGACCAGGGAGTCCCCCGAAGAAGCTCAGCTCCTCCGCAGATGATGTTTGCATCGTTGGCTGTGAAATCCCGTAACCTGGAAAAAGCCCCAGTCACGGATGGCTGGGAACAGCAAAAATCCCTAGGAAACCACTGCGTTCCCACCTGGAGCATCCAGGTCCAGCCCTGAGCAGTTGTGCTTTATTCCCTTTTATGTCCTTTCCCCAGGACGAAGCCCATGAAACTGCAGCGGGCTCTTGGCTGCGGGCTCAGCAACAGCATCTCTGTTCCTCCCCGGCGCCGGCTGCGTTTCGGTGGTCCCTGCCCCCGGTTCCCTTAGTGCACTTGGGATCTGGTGGGCTGAAAAGTGCTGGGTGGATGGAAGGTATCGCTGCGGATGCCTTCTACTTCATTCATCACTGCTTCATTTGTTCCTCCGTTTACTTTGATCAAAACCTTCTGAAAACAAATCATTCCTAGTTAAAAAAAATCACAACCAAACATGATTTCTACCCTTTATTTTCATCAGTTCTTATGGCTTTAGGCAGGTACTGTTGTATGATTCAATCACTGGTTGGACAAAGATGACATTTAATTAAGAAGGAAGGAAGAGGAAGCTCAAGAAAATAATGTATGCCTTCTTTCTATATGAAGTGTGTGGGGGGGAAAAAGAGCTGAGGAGATTTTCTGTTGTGAAATGCAAGGTCTCATCTACAGTGTCAGCAACTTGGCTGCTTCGCAGAGATTCCTCCCTGTGATTGAGATCCACCGTGGGCCACAAGTCAGCCTCGTCTCTATTCATTTAATGACCGAGTCAGTTTGGATAACTGCACCCCATCTGTCTGTCCACCTGGTCCATCTCTCCGTCCTCTTCCACAGCCTTCCCATTTCTTTATCCTTCCTCCTCGGTGATTCGATTCGTCCCAAGAAAAATCCCCAGAGCATCGCATGGAAAGCGTGGGTTTGGGTCAGCAGAGCCGGAATACCGATATCCCTGGAAATAACCAGGCTTCCATCGCTCCTTGCACTTGTTCTGTGCGTGATGCCGAGCAGTGAGAGAAGATGAGAAGGGGTAACCAAGCCAATAATTGGGTTAGGAGTGGAAATCAGCTCCGCTGCTCCTCTTGTCCCTTCTCTGTTCCTCCTGGTCCTGCTGGTTCTCCCCATCTCTGCTCTTTCTGCCTTCGCTCTGCCCCCAGAGCCGAGCCTGGCAGGAGGGCAGGCAGGGCATGAGCATCTCAGCCCCCGGGCTCTCTGCGAGGCTTCCTTTTGGGTTTTTTTTTCCCTTTCTCAGCTTGAAAAGAAGAAAGGAAAATGTAAACTTCAACCTCAGGCATTTTAATTGCGCTCTAAGCTTTAACATTTCAGGGGGAAGATAAAAGCAAGCAGTGAAATTTTACAGTCGTGTAATGACGCCGGGAGCAGCGCGGCCAAACGAGGTTGTGAAGTTTATGGTGTGCTCTGCCAGTCGAGGGGAGGTGGGGAGCCACAAAGGATGGAGGAACGAGGGTCCCACGCTCGGGGGCTCATCCCCGACGGGGTACCCACCTGCAGGCCGGCACCCCTCCCTTCCCCGTGACCCTCCCGCAGGTTGGGGCAACCAGACAAGCGATTGCATCTCCTGAGCCTAGATCTCATGTAGATCTCCTCTCTTTATCCCATTTATCCTCTTTCCTCACCTTTACTTTTTTTTTTAAATGTTGCTCCTTGCTGCTGAGTTGCTCTATGCCAGCAGAGGTGGTGAAATCCC